CCGATTTTCAGTGTTCTCCTTTTAGTTGCTGCGTGCCCTGCTGCCAACGCTGGAGTTCCCTTAACCTCTGAGTCTCATTCTCTTCTTTTAAGGTCATTCTTACAACCTATCCCTTTGACCAGCAAGTTTTTCTGTATAGCAAAATGAATAAATTTACAAAATTCTTTATAATGCCACTCCCTGGAATACTCATCTTTTTGTGTGAATAAATCAACATGATAAATTTTATTTGTGTTACCTTTGAAGACTAGGCATTAACAAATTTACAAGTTTTAGCGAAAAATTGATTTAATAAACTTTTACGTTGATTTGTGGCTGCACAAAGTTCACACACCATATAGTGTGGAACATGGGATTTTAAATTGGTATCCAGATTATGGAACGTTTTAGACTATAGAAGTCTGTAAATTCAGACTTTTATTCTGTTATAATTGCAGATATAAGCAAAGTATTAAAATTTCTGACTTGATAACTATTATCTAATGTTTCTGCAAATTAAACTAATTCAACTTACTCTGTGGTTTAAAAATCTGTACTTAAGCACAGAACATGTATAAATTACAATGCTGGAAGGGTCAGAGTTTCAATATTTGTGATGAACTGATAAGTAATGATGGAAACAGAAGTATGGCTGAGAGAGGGAAAACAAACAAGTTATTTCTGTTTTGTTCTGCGCTTGAAATTACAGGAATCTTATTTTCGAAAAATGAAAACAGTTACACAAAAGCTTGTTTACTGAAGTTAGTGAGGTATAGATCTCATCTACAGCTCATTTTTGACACGACTGTAGAAGTATAACTCTCCTTTTCTAATCAAATGTAAAATTGTGAACAAGATCACACGAAAGAGAGCAAAAAAACCTGATCTTATTATAACTGATACTAACACCACAGTAGAACTTGTGACAAAGAAACCTGATGAAAGAGATGCAATATGTTGAGTCAGTCTTTTCTCCCCACAAACGGGAAAACATTTGTGCTGTCTAAGTTGGCTTACTCATTATCATTGACACACACATACACACACAGACATATACACACAGTGTTCTTACTTCCACAGCCTAGTTTCCTGTTACTGCCAATTATCTATAATAACTATAAGCTGCAGTGTGAAGATTATGGGACAACAGGACTAACAATGGCTACGTTTCATAATTCAGAACACCAACAGGAAGCTCAAGTGGTTATCGTGATGGTGTTTATTTCCTAGAAGGTAAATCCAAAGTTTCACATACATAGTAGGCTAGAAGCAGACTTTGGATTCAGTGGGGCCAGAAAAGAGTTTGCAAAGTCTCCACTTTACTGCAAGAAGTACCCACCACTTAAAATCTCTCGAACAGTTCCCTATTGGCATTGCTCATTCTCACATAGAATAAAAACTAGCCAGATTATTGACAACTGGAAAGAATTAATTAAAAAGTAAAGGTCAGTTTTTAATCCCAAATCTTTCACTTGCCCTTTTATTGAAATGAATCCTATATCTTCTAAAATGTCCCACGACAGGATTCCAAACAATAGCATGAAAGCACAAGGGTGGAATACCCGGAAGAGAATCTGGGATAGACTGCCTATTTCCACTATAATGCCATTAATTGTACCAGCAGGTACAAGTGCAGATTTGTGGTGATGACTGAGAGGAAACTTTCACAACAAGATTGGGACTTCAGAAAGCAGGTAGTTGATCCATTTACTAGGAGCGCAGTCACCAGATTTCACCACAGAAATGGAACTGCCAATCAAGGTCAAATGCGACTTCAGGTTTTTTCAGGTCTCGGTCAATTTGCTGACTAGGTATATGGAGAAGGCTATCAATGCATTATGGAGCAGATCTACCAGTTTCATCAGTTTTTCACTGAACAGCAGCATAAAGGCCTAGATATTCTAATGGCCAGACAGCTGTGATTCTGAAATAGATGGGCGTTGCGCATGCGGACACTTCAGAATCCCCACTGTAGCAGACTCCAAAAGAATTACTTGGGAAATTGATAATTCAACTGAACAATTCCTCTACCCTACTCTGAAAGTCTTAATTTAAATTGCAGAATGCGGAAGGTTCTGATTAAATTAAGTAAATAGTTACTCAAGAAAAGTTAGCCTATTACATTTCTGGTCTAATTGCTGAAGAACAATTCCACTGATGGCACAGTAACCTCATAGTCACTTCTTGTCTCCACCAGACCTGATCAACTTCCTCTGCCGCCAGACCTGCTCCCCCTTCTACTGCCACTGGACCTGAATCTCCTTCCCCTGCCACTGGACCCAATCCTCCTTCCTTCCCACAGATCCAGCTCCTTCCCTTCCCCAGCTCCAATCTGCTTCAACTACCTACCCACGGGACCTGACCTTCCCCTTACTTCGCCGCTGGACTCATCTTACCTTCCCTTTCTTTTCCCCTCTCCCCTCCATCCCCATATAAAAACCTGCAACAGCCTGCCCAACCTGACTTCTCCCACCCTCCCTGACCTACACTAAAAATTATATCACTCACCTGTTACCCTTACCACTTTGTAAATGACCCCTTTCTCACTTGGCAGTTTATCCCCAGCAACCTGGCATCTTACTAACCTGCTACTCTGCCCTATTACCCTGGCACCCTACTTTCATACTTACTTATTGTTTGTCAATGTGGTTGATTCTGGTCTTTTAAATTTCAGAATGCGGCAGATGACTGCTGTGAAAAGGGAATGCAGTTTGCCTTCCTCCAACAGTTCTGGATTATGACAGAACTGTCAGAATGGAAGTGTGGTTCCACATTTCTGAAGGAACCCTGACCGTAATCTCTGATAAGAAATGTGAATCTCTTTCCCATCATAAAAAAGGGGCAATGTGACAATCTGCTCGAGATTGTTACTCTTCAGAAAATCCAGCCTAATCTATCAGGTAGACACGATTTAATTATACAAACACAGTCATCCATTTGCAACATATAAGCACCTCCGAATTGGACAAGAAAGCCTGATTACGCTTGGCACTAAACTGCAATTTCTCCAGTAAAGAATGAAATTTCACTTTGAAATACTGTACTAAATATCTGAGACTCATTACTGCCCCTAAAATTAATGGATTTGATTTCATGACAAATAACCTGTGGTTTGCTGTAGTACAATTTATCATTCAATGAACACCCATTTATGATGGTTGCAGAATGGTTTCTATTATATTGTCAGCGGTAATATTGCAAAACTTGAAGTTAAGATTGTGAAGATTTTACAAATTAAATTTTGTCTGCTGCTGAATTGTCAAACTAAATTTCCTGCATAAGCATGAAAGTTATGATGTTTGTGGCTCTGTGCTGTTGTTCAGCAACTCCAGAGTTTGGCTCATAGTTGCAACAACAGCAGTAAATTGTCAACTTTAGCTATAATACACTGCACAGCATGGTCATTCAACTAAGCCTGATAACAGCTGCCCTGGATTTGGAGGGAAGGAACTGACTTTCAGATGAGGGAGCCAAGTCAAGCACTTGGTGCTATTTGCAGTCAGTCCAGGGTTTGTGTTGTCTAACCTAGATTAAGTCAGGGAGATGTCCGAAGAAACCTGCTTTCTCTCTCTCTCCACTTCAGCAGGAACGTTATCATGAAAGTGCACCTTTGCTGAAAGCATATCTACAGACAAGAATCAACAAAGAGAAAGTATGCCTGATGCAGTAACTTTCTCATCACATTGAAAGGTTACACCACAGGAATCTGGAATAAATGCTGAAAAGGTGCTCTTAAAATATATTCTTCATTATTCCTGCTGGACTCTGATAATCTAAAGAGTTAAAATCCATAGGTACTTAGAAGGCTCTACGGTTAAGATAAACGTGCTTTCATAGCTAGCATCTGCTTTCATTTAAAGACTGGAACCAAACACAACAAGGCCAGTCAAGGGTGAATGAAGGATAGTGTTTTGCTGACTAAGAAAAAAAGGGGTGCCTAGCGTGGCTAGCTTTTATCTTGTCCCATCCCACTGTGGTAATTAATGGCTAAGCAAAGTGAAGGAGTTCTTCAAAATAGGCCTACACACTTTTTTAAAAAATGTGTTGCCCTGCATATAATTTAGATTAGGCAAACTGAACAGTTTGCATTGAATGGGCAGATTAGACTTTAGTCAAGTATTGATGAATTTGGTTATTATAGGCACTTGGCACACTGTTATCAAATCCTGACATTAGGCACGTTATGCTGCCTGGTTACAGATATCAAAAATATACCCTCTAATTTTTTTTGTTCCATGCAACCCATTTATTGCACAGTGCAAAACATTAAAGGCGCTGTGAGATTGTGCACACTTTGACCAGGGAGTGTCAGTTTTGCACAGCTTGTTCAGTGCACTGTGTAGCTCATTCCAGGTTGCTGTATGACTGCCTGCTTTCACACCTAACAAGAATGTTGTCCATTATACCTTCAAAATAAATGACATCAACTCAATTTGGATATAATGCTATTCCTTGAAACACAGCAAAATGAACTTAGAGTTGTGTATGAAATTCTTCTACGTTTCAAACCCCAGATGACAGCTATTTGGATAAACTGATCAATGTAACGCAGAGGTTTTCAGCCTTGGCTTCCTAACCCTAAGGAGTCTGCTTGATCATCATATTTCTGTCTGTCAGCAGATTTCTGCATTGTTCTGTGTTAAATTGACTTAATAGCATATTATTTCAGTTGCTGTATAACTGAATACAGACTTTCTACAATGCAATAAGGTTACTTCCCTTTGAATTGCTGACACTGTCTATTGGAAAGAAATATTTGCAGGGAGTTCTAGGGAGTGTGTCAATATCTGCAGCCGACGACATTTGCAAAAAAGTTTGAAAACCACAGTGCAGTGAAAATGATCTGTCAAGCAAAAACAATGTTTTGTTATTGTTTTATCAGAAGAGCTAACTTTAGCTAAATTTAAAGATAAAAAGATTTGCAAGTCAAATTGCAAACCCTTACTGTTAGAACAAGTTGTTTACAATCTATTCACACAGCATGGCGCTTTTATACTCTGAGAAGTTAGAAATAGTCCAACCTGTGCATGGGTCTCATTTTCCTGTAGCTGAATCTTCAGAGTATCGTATTCTTTTGAGACTTGCTGCATTACCTTCTTAAAGATGTTTCTGTGTTGTGTCAGTGTCACTTTCTCCTCCTGAAGTTTCTGCATAACAGGTGGAATAAAAATGGTATGTTCATCATTCCTGGCAAATCAGTAAAAGATTTAACAGCAGAACTGCATCATATAAGCAAAAAGGATCCTGTCAAAGTGACCATGATGAAAGATACTGCCAAACATCCGTTAGACTAGAGTTTACAACATGTTATACCATTTGAGATTAGGAATAGAAATCTTATTCAGAGAATAGGTGGTGTGACAGACAGGATTGGGGATCAATTAGATGTTGATCATTCAACCAAATAAGGTAATGGAACAAAGCTCTTTACAAAAACAAAGTTGCTGGAAAAGCTCAGCAGATCTGGCAGCATCTGTGCTTCTGAGAAACACATGGTTCTGAGAAAGGGTCACCGGACCCGAAATGTTAACTCTGTTTTTTCCTTCACAGATGCTGCCAGACTTGCTGAGCTTTTCCAGCAACTTTGCTTTTGTTCCTGATTTACAGCATCTGCAGTACTTTCGTTTTTTTTTAAAGCTCTTTACAAGTTTAGTAACATATCTGACGCAGATAAGTCAATCTAAATGCTATGTTTTATCTTTCAGATTGTCAGGGATAGTAAGTGAATGAAAGGAAGACTTATCCAAATTATAAGAGATAATTTTTGTTCAGGAACTGAATGAGTGTCTTATGGTAGAACAGAAGGGCAGCAATTGATTATTTTTCAATAAAGCTGTGATTATGAATATTTCATAACGAATATACAGAAATTGGAGATATGATAGGTGCAAAAGTGTAGATATAGATCTGATAAAAAGACAAGAATGAGACATAAGTGGCATGCAATGACAGAACAGAACCCAACCATCTCCTCTTAACATTCAACAGCATTGCCATCAGCGAACTCTCCGTTATCAATATTCCAGGGTTACTATTGACAAGAACTAAACTAGACCAGCCATAAAGCTATTGTGGCTACAAAGAACAAATCAGAGGTTAAGGATTATGTGGAAAGTAATTGCCTCCTCAGTGCCTACTGCTCAACACACAAGTCAACAGTGTGATGCAATATTCTCCAATTACCTGGAAGGGTACAATTCCAACAATACTCAACGAGCTTGATAGTATCAAGGACACAACTACCCTCATGATTGCCCTACCATCAAATGCCCCAATCTTCACTTCCTTCACCCTCCAGCAGAGGCAGCAGTTTGTACCACCGACAAAAAGCACTTATAGCAACTTATCCAGGCTCCTTCAACAGTACCTTCCAAATCCATGGCCTCTACTACCTAGCAGGTCAAGGACAGAAAACGTGTGGGTATACCACACGTACATGTTCACCTCCAAACTACACACTGTCCTGACTCGGAATTATATTTTTGCTCCCTCATTGTCATTGGGTAAAAATCCTGGGATTCCCTCTCTAACAGCCTATTTGTGTACCAACACCCCAAAGACTGCAATGATTCAAGGTGATAGCTCACTACTACCTTCACAAGGTCAATAAATGCTGGCCTAGCAATATCCCATGACTGAATTAAAAACAAAGTTTCTACTTGCACCAGTAGCTACATTGGTGCAGAAAAAAATATTGGAAATATGAATGCAGCAACTGAACACACAAAAGGCACCAAAGAATCATTAAAGACTATTTCACCTATTTTGCAAGGTTCCAACCTCAGTGTGGAATTTCATTGGATGGGGAAGTGAGCTAAGAGATAAATAGGGTTAATTATGTAACATTCACTCCCATATTATGTGGTTCATTCAAGGAACTCTGGCTCACAGCGTTTCAAAATCGTAATAACCCAAACATATATTCCTATTGAAATATACAAATGGAGCCCTGACAGTGTTGGTACCGAGAGGATACTGTCCCTTTTAGGAGAGAATTGAAACAGTTTACAAAGGGTCTTGCATCTAAAACAGAGAGGAAGGAAGCTTCTTTTCTCTCATTGATGTCATTATGGTTCTGGAATTTTCTTCCCCAGACAACATGGGCATTGAACATTTTTAAGGCTGAGTTAGATACATTCTGAATTAACAAGGGGAGTTAAGGTTATGGGATAGGCAATAAAGTGGAGTTGGGACCACAATCAAATCAGCAATGATCTTATTAAATGCTGAAGCAGACTCAAGGAACCCAACGGCTTACTCCTGACTCTAATTCATATATATAAAAAAATTCATACAAGGCTTTCCACCCAAATGTGAAAGTACATCCAGTTAATTCCTAATGGATCATTTCTAACACTATTACCTTCTTTTTCTCCTCTCCAGCAGCTTTTAGTCCCTCCAAGTCATTATAGGTTTCCAGAGCATCTGTGATGTGCTGAATCTTTTCCTTTAAAGAACTTAACTCTGCACCAATCTTGCTTTCCAGTTGTTCAACCTTCTGAAGGTCCTGTTGGAGCCGTTGGCTCTCTGTGGTTGGATGGAGAAAAGGAAAGATGAGTCAATCTGTAGATAACTTCTCTTACATATCTAGACAAATAAAAAAATTATATAAAATTACAGCAGCCAACAAAAATACATGAGATAATATGCAGTATAATGTATTTTACTGGGTCAATGTGGAGGATAATGTGATATATTCCTTCATCAGGCAAGAATGTCTGCTGAACATCGCTTAAGCTGAAAGTCACAGAGTAATTATTGCTTAGTATCACAGTATGAAATATTTCATGTTCTGGATTTTTTAAAGTTTGAAATGTTTGATCAATCCACAGGAATGCTTTCAGTTTTCTATCCTGATTGGCAAGTCATAACAGAAAGTTACAAACCTGGCTGTTTTAAGACTTCTCCAGCATTTCTGACGTAAAGGGTAAAGGTAAAAGTAAAGTCACCACAGTCTTACCAGACCATAGGGTTGTTCTCTCATTAAACAGAAACGATTGGTGAGGGTTTAACCTGAGCATCACCATGCCTTAGGTGAGAGGACAGGTTGAGAACGAGAATCCTTCATGCTAACCTCAGCTGGTGCGGGAACTGAACCCTCGCTGTTAGCATCACTCTACATCGCATAACAGCTGTTCAGCTGACTTACAGGGGTAAGTCACATCTCTATTGCAAAGGATGATTCAAAGTTTCATTTAGTATTTGTAAAAAGGACTCAGACTATAGAAACTGCTTTTTTGAAATAATATGCAAGTTGACTATGGTGCCTCTCTCTGGTGGTCAGCTTTATCCATTACTTCTGTATTATTATGAACCTTTTGCTTGAAGCACATCTGACAATAATACGTTCTGCTTAGAGAAGCGACGGGGTTACACCTTAAATTTAATCTCTGATTCTAAATATCTCATGAAAAGGGCAACAGTTTAACCATTGGAATGCTACTTCCATTCACAGCATGTAAATAAGCTTCTGCTGATAGAAAACTGCATTTTTCTATCATCATGTAAAAATTAGGACAAAGCTAAATTTCTAAACTACGAATATAATTAAGTTAAAAATATTTCAGTATTAATATCCAGTGAATTAAAATCAACTGCTTGGTAATATATTTATCCTTTGGAAGGTAGAGAAACTTAGCTGGAAGTCATCACAATGGTTCCACAGTTCTGTGATGCATGGTCACCTGTGTCTTGGATGATGGGAAGTCTTCTAACCCATTCCTAGTTTTGCTAATGGAGTCAAGCATGCCTGCATGCTAGCGTCAACCATCCTCAGCATGCTTTCATCTACTTTGCTGTTCAATGGCTTTCACAATGGAGATCTTGCCATCAAAATCAAATATAGCATGGACCAGAAGCCGCACAATTTAAGATGACTCCAGGCAAAGCCCAAGATTGCCAAGGATGTATTTCAGAATTTTCTATTTGCCAATTATGGTGTACTGACTGCCAGTTCACAGCTGAACATGCTATGTAGCACAGACTTATTCTCCAATGCATCTGATCATTTTGAGCTTACAGTCAGCATAAAGAATACCAGATTGTCCCAGGAATACCCAAGATCGTCCAATGTTTCAGTCCATTACTAGAATCAGCAGTAGATAAGTTAACTCATTCCAGCAGCACACTATCTAAAGATATTGATGACGAGATACATGCAAGAATTGCCAAAGCAAGTGCCGCCTTTGGTACACTTTGGACATCAGATTGGGAACAAAGAACAGTTAGTTTGCCTAACATGCTGAAAATCTATACAGGAATCGTCCTGTGCACTCTACACTCGCAAGACTCGGAGTGTGTAGCAGCATCACGCCAATAAAATCAATCACTTTCTATTGAGCTGCCTTCAGAAGCTTCAGAAGATTAAATAGCAGGAAAGCAATACAGAACATGAAGTGCTCTCCTGACCAGGTATATTGAGCATTCGCACCATTTTGAGACAGTCACAACTCAGATGGAGTGGTCATATATCTAGAATATGCGGCACTCATCTTGTCAAAGAGAAATTTTTTTGGAGAATTTGAGGCTGGGCTATGTTTTCACAGCAGTCAAAGAAAGAATTGCAAGCGCACTCTGAAGGCTTAATTTGGGAGTTTCAATGTTGACTTTGAGATCTGAGAGATCCCAGGATCACAACACCTTGTGCAACCAAATGAAAAGCAGTGTGTGGCACAATTCAAAAGTGACTGCTTATCAGAGTCAGAGAAAATGCATGGAGAGGAATTCCCAAGCTAGCTACTTGTCTGAATCTCATTTGTCTGCCATATCCTTTATTTGAAACAGAACCTTTCAGGTGCAGATTAGCCGTAGCAGATAGCTAAATACCCTTCTGAATCCTACCAATCAGCCCAGATGATGAAAATGGCTATATTTACCTTCACGGACCAATAAGAAGAAATGGCTGCAATGGAATTGAATAAAAACCAAAAGAACCATGAATGCTGTAAATCAGAAACAAAAATAAAAATTGCTCAAAAGCTCATAGGTCTGGCAGCATCTGTGGAGAGAAATCACAGTTGACATTTTGGTTGAGTGACCCTTCCTGAGGGATTTCCAGCAATTTCCAGTTTTGTTTTCAATGGAATTAAAGCCTTCTACACTGCAGCATGTTCTGAAACTTCTATCTAACTTTTTTGTCTGTTTTTTTCAAAAGTATTAGTGTACTTCAAGGTTCTCAAAGATGCATGAAATGATTTATTAATACTTTGAGTAAGTATCGAAGAATAAAATATTGGATAGTCTTTATAATTATCACATAAATGCTAATTAGGAGAATCAGAGACTCAGCAAGTTCAGTAGTTCTTATCCAGTACTCTAAACGCCAAAAAAACAAAACACACCCCTGTTGTCTGGACAAACAGGAAGCAAAAGTAATAAAAACTATAGCGTTTTATATTGTAACAAATTTCAATGAACAGACTTTGTTCCCTAAACTATGGTTAAAAGAAGAGGTAGGAAGAGGACACAGTTCAGTCCCTTCTGCCTGTACTCTTTGGAGCAATGTATTAACTTGACATTCTGGACTATCTTGTGGAATGTGTTCCATCTAGTAAACCTTTTTATCCACTTCAGGTTCCTCCTTTTAATACAAAAATATATCACATTTTGTTAAAAAGAAGAAAATGCATTTTAAAACACGTTTCAATAATGTTACTAAAAAGCCAGATATTGGACCATACAAAACGCATATTGGAAAACCCATAACAGTACTTTTCCCAACAAGAATTGACCTTTTTTTAAAAATTTGCTAACACTGTTGTATATCAAACTATTGTACAAATACAATCCATGTAATGAAGACAAATCTGGTTATTACACTTGCAAAATAGTCCTTGTATAACAGTTAGGTCTGACCTACAGTAATTTTAACAAATTATTAAGGCCAGGCTCAAGAAGGAAATCCTGAACAACAATACAAGTGTCAGTGAAGTCACTAAATGCTTATAAGAAACTACACCCATCAAGAAAAAGTTGTTTAACACAGGCATTGGAATTTTCTGCACCATTTGTTCAGCTGACAGTCTTATCAATATTCTGATCTTATCATATTTTGCAACAGCAAAACAATTTATTTCTGAGTTACTGAATGCAAGCTACTTGAAATAACTTACATTTGTACACCATCCTGAAAATAAAAGTCAGTCTCAAAATGCTTCATAGAGTGCACGGGGAAAAACAACATGAGGCCAAAGGAGGAAATATTGGGAGGAACTGAAACTTGGTCAAAGTGAAATTGGCGAGTCATAAAAGAACACAGGGAAGTAATATAGAGAAAGAATTTCAGTGGAAATTGAAGGATGGCTGCTCGAAAGGTCAAAGTCAAAGGAACTGAGGGTGTGGAGAGATGGTGGTGCTTGAGGAGATTACAGAAATAGGAAGGCAGAAGATGGTAGAGATATTCAAGAACCAAGATTGTAAAAAATACCCATTATCAGGATGCTAACATTGCTCGCAAGATTGGCTTTTAGAGTTGGTTCTGATATAACACGATAGTTCCGTTCTTGTGTGACCTCACATTATAAGAAAATCGCACAATAGCCACACCATTTGAATTAATGGGGCTGGAATCACAGTATAGCCAATACAGGTAAAGAAAGTTTGCAGAACTGACTGTACTTACCTTTTACAAGTGGGGTTTACTAGGCTATTTCAGATGGTTTTGGACCAGTCACAAACAGACTAGGCTATATAAGGACAGCATCCTTTCTTTCCCAAAGAACACTGTGAACCAATTGGGTTCTTACTACAACCTGAGATTCACGTTAACCTTCAATCACATTGGTTTCTTTTTAAATTGAATTTAGTCATTGCAATGTAGGATCTTGAATCTGTGTTTCTAAAACATCAGGGACAGTTACCTTCTGGTTTATCAGAACATTGAATCCTTCCACCATTGCACCTCCTCCATTGCTAAGATAAGGAGAACAAAGCTGCACATAATACTCCAGGTATAGTCTCACCAAGGCTCTGTACAATTGCATCAAGATATCCCTGCTCCTGTTTTTGAATTCCTTGCTATGAAAACTGACATACCATCTGCCTTCTTCACCATCTGCAGCACCTGCATGCTTCATTTCTGTACAAGGATACCCAGGTCACAGTGCACTGGCATTTCCCCTTTCCCAATCTTTTGCCAGATAATAATCTGCCTTTGTGTTTCTGCTACCAAAGTGGATAACCTCACATTTATCCACATTATACTTCATCTGCCAGGTATTTACCCACTCATTCAATTTGTCTGAATCATCTCTGCTTTCCGCTCCCACCCAGCTTTGTCTACAAACTTGGAGATATAACATTTAGTTTCCTTATTTAAATCATTAATGCATAATGCGAATAGCTGGGGTCCAAGCATTGATCCCTGCAGTACTCTACTAGTTACTGCTAGTTGTAAAAAAGAATCCTATTCTACCAACCTGTTCACTGTCAATATCAGTACACTACTTCCTATCCCATGTGCTTTAATTTTACATGCTAATTTCTGAAGTGGGACCTTAACAAAAGCCTTCTGAAAGTCCAAGTAAGCCATATCCACTAGCTCCCTCTTATTAACTCGACTATTTATATTCTTGAAAAGTTCCAGGAGATTTGTCAAGCCTTTCGTAAATCCACAATGACTCTGTCCATTGTTTTCAAGTGTTCTGCTTCTAAATCTTTTATAATGAACTCCGGCATTTTCTCCACTTCCGATGTCTGGCTAACTGGTTTATAATTCCCTGTTTTCTCTCCACCTGCTCTGTTAAATAGTGGACTGAGATTAGCTACCCTCAATCCATTGGAATTGTTCCAGAGTCTACAGAATCTTGAAAGATGACCACCAACTTCCAGAAGTCCTCTGGGAGGTAGAATGTCAGGTCCTTGGGATCTATCAGCCCTTAATCCCATCAATTTCCCCAACTCCAACACCCTGTTAATACTGACTTCCTTCAGTTTCTTCCATTCATTACAGCCTAGGTTCTCCAACTTTTTCAGAATATTATTTTTGTTTTCCCTTATGAGGACAGAACCAAAATATGTATTTAATCAGTCTGCTATTTCTTTGCTCCCTATTATAACTTTACCTGCTTCTGACTGGAAGGGAACAACATTTGTCTTCAGTAATCATTTTCTCATCACATGCCTATGGAAGCTTTCATAATCAGTTTGTAACTTCCTTGCAAGCTTACTTCCGGTGCGCTTCTTTCTTTTCTTATCAATCTCTTTGTCCTCCTTTGTTGAAATCTAAATTTCCCCCAATCCTCAGGATTGCTTCTTTTATTGCCAATTTGTATGCCCCTTTATTGTACACCAAACTATCCCTAATTTCCCACGTAAGCCATGATTGGGCCACCTTTCCCATTTTATTTTTTCGCCAGACAAGATGAACAATTGTTCAAGTTCGGCCATGCACTCTTCAAAGGTTTGCCACTGCCTTTTCACCGTTGTTCCTTTAAGTAATGTTCCCCACTTTATCATCGTCAGCTCGCACCTCAAGCCATCGTAGTTTCCTTTATTTAGATTCAGGACGCTAGTCTCAAAATCAATGATGTCACTCTCTATCCTAATGAAGAATTCTATCATATTATGGGTCACTCTTAACCCAAAGGGCCTTGTACAGTTAGAATGCCAATTATTCCTTTCTCATTACGCAATACCCAGTTATTGCATCATTCTCCAGTTGGTTACTCAATGTATTGATACAGAAAACCATCCCATACACACTCCAGCAATTCCTCCTCCATGGTATTGTTACTGATTTGATTTGCCCAATTAATATGCTGTTTAAAAACACCAATAATTACAGCTGTAATCCTTTAATAATCCTGAAATACTCCCAGTAGTCCTGTAATACGCCCTACATTTGAGACCATATCATTAATGCACATCACAAAGAGCAAGCGCACCAGAATTGAACCTGTGGATCCCCACTGGAAATATACTTCTACTCATAGAAACGTCCCTCTACCATCACCTTCTGCTTCTTGCCTCTCAGCTGATTTTAAATCCTACATGCCACTTTGCCTTGGATCCCATGGGCTCTTATTTTTTTGACCAGTCTGCCATGAGGGACCATATCAAAAGACTTGTTAAAATCTATGTAGGCTACATTAATTGCATCACCCATAAGACAATAAGATATATGAGAAAATTAGGCCTATTGCGTCTGCTTCGCCATTCATTCATGGCTGGTATGTTTCTCAGCCACATTCTCCTGCCTTCTCCCCGCAACCTTTGATCTCTTACCCCTTGATCAACACTCTGGGTTGCCTCCTCAAAAAATTTGCTCAACTGTGTCAAACACAACATTATCTTCACTAAGCCATGCTGATTATTCCTGATTAACCCATGTCTCTCCATGTACACATATATGCTGTCCCCCAGAATTTTTTCTAATAACTTCACCATCACCAAGATTAGAATGATTGGTTTGTAGTTTCTTGTTCTATGCTTTCTTCCCCTTTTTCAGTAATGGGACAGTATTAGCAGTCCTCTTGTTCCCTGACACCTCACCAATCTCCAAAGAGGAATGAAAATTACTACTGGAGCTCCTGATATCTCCTCCCTTGCCTCTCTCAACAGTTTGGGATACATCTCATCTGAGCATCCAGGGACTTATCCAATATTAATGCTGCTAAAACTGCCAATATTGCCTCTCTATGTTAACTTCTTCTACTATTTCACTGTGTGCTACCCTGGTGAGTGTCTATACCCGCATGTGCTTTTCCATTATGAAGATTGATGCAAAGTAATCGTGAAGATATGTGCCCATGTTTTCTGGGTCCAAACACAGATTACCACTATCATCCCAAACAGGCCCTCTACTTTCCCTAGTTATTCTCTTGCTCTTTTTATATTTTAAAAAATCTCTTCAGGTTTTCTTTCATTCAGCCCACTAATGCTTTCACATACACTCTCTTTGTGCAATGAAGGTGATATACAATGGCTGCAGTCACAGACAATATTATTCACATCTTTTGCTTGAGCTATTTTAATGCTGTGAGCAATAACTTGACAGAAAATTGCATGGTCAAATGTTCTTCAAGCTGAATCTTATTTCAAATAGCGGAAATCATTGATATGGGGAGATATATTTCAATATTTCGTACCATCAGTCAAGCCCTTGGCAGTTGTTTGGGATTTCTGCATTTCAGTTTCCTTGAAACTCAGATCCTCCTGCATTGACTTCAGTTCATGAGCTGTTATCGAGGAGATCTGTCTCATTCGATTCATATTCTGCATTGCAAGACCAAAGTAATAAATTAAACATTGCTAAAATACATTGGAAAGGATCTCATGCAGATTGCCATACTGTCCCTTATTTTTTAATGAAAGGAGAGAGCTTCACATATTGAACAGGAAATTCCAACGAGGGCTCCTGCAGATCCATGCTTCCTTTCTAACACAAACACAGAGAATGCTGAAGAGACTAAGCAAGTCTGGCAGCATCTGTGGAGACAGGAACAGAGTAAACATTTTGAGTCCATATGACTCTTCTTTTCTTCACCATTTTGTGTGCTTGTTTCAGAATTCCAGCATTCACTGTATGTTGCTTTTATTCCTTTCTGACAGAACTTTCTAGTGAAGTCAAAACACACCCTCTTTTCACAGCAATCAGCCAAAATATTGTGGAATTTTAAGGTCCTGAATCACAGACAGCCATGTTGACAGCAGCTGTCAAATAGTAAGCACATTAGGGAAGCATGAGGTCAGATTGCCAGGTAAGTAGGGTTCCAGCTGAACTGTATGCCAAGTGAACAGGGCAAAGGGTGTCAGGTGTGTAGGATGCCAGGGTAAAAAGATGGTAAGGAGCCAACTAACTGATGCAGTGTTTAGGGTAGGTTGGGTTAGGCTGAAGAAACAGAGTCTGGCAGAAGCGAGTGACGTCAGGTCTAGGGAGAGTGCTGGGGAAAGCATACAGTTGGGAGGTGGGGGCGGTGGTGACTGGTTGGAGATTTTAGGGATCAGCAATGGGGGTTGAAACAGGTTGGGTTCAGAGTGTTGAGGAGTCCATTCTTGAGGATTTACGGAAGGTTTGGTCCAGTGCCGGGGAATGGGGGCGTGGAACAAGGAGGGTGGGGTGAAGTCCACAGAGAGAGAGGGGGTCAGATCCAGGACAGAGTGTGTGTGTGTGGTGCATGTGTGGTGCATGCACATGTCAAATCCAGAGCTGGGGAAGCAAATTTGGGAAACAGGTCTGGAGGGTGGGGGTGAGGCATGTGGAATGAACTGGGGAAGGGAGCTGATCAGGAGCAGTAAGAGGGTGTGTGCATGCATATGTGTAAGGTATCGTGGGAGGTGCACTTAGGCGTCTATGAGCTAAGCATGGGGTCAGTGTCACGGAGTCATACAGCATGGAAACAGACCCATCATTCATGCTGACCAAGTTTCCCAAACTAAATTAGTCCCAATTGTCCGCGTTTGGCCCATTTCCCTCTAAATGTTCCCTATTCATGTACCTATCCAAAAGTCTTTTAAATGTTGTAACCGTACCTGCATTAACTGTTCCACATAGGAACCAACCCCTAAGAGAAAACGTTGCCCCTCAGGTCCCTTTTAAATATCTCACCTCACTTTAAAAATATGACCTCTAGTTTTGAACTCCCCCACCCTAGGGTAAAGACCTTAGCTATGCATATTATCTATGCCCCTTATGATTTCATAAATCTCCATATGGTCACTCTTCAACCTCCTATGCTCCAGTGAAAAACATCCCAGCCTACCCAGCCCCTCCTTATAACTCAAACCCTCCAGTCCCGGCAACATCCTGGTAAATCTTTTCCGAACCCTCTTCAATTTAATAATATTCTTCCTATAACAGGGCAATCAGAACTGTAAATAGCACTCCAAAAGTGGCCTCACCAACTTTCTGTGCAACCTCAAAAAGACGTCCCAACTCCTTTATTCAATGGTCTGAGCAATGAAGGCAAACATGCTCAATGCCTTCTTAACCACCCTGCCTACATGCAACTCAACTTTCAAAGAACTATGTACTTGAACCGGTAGGTCTCTCTGTTCGACCACACTATCCAGAGCCCTACCATTAACTGTATAAGTCCTGCCCTTGGTCACTTTATCAAAATGCAATACCTCACATTTATCCAAATTAAACTTCACCTGGCACTTCTCAGCCAATTGGCTCAATTGATTAAGAACCCTTTGTAATCTTATATAACCTGCTTCACTGTCGACTATACCACTAATTTTGTTGTCATCTGCAAACTTACTAATCATTCCTCCTAAATTCTTGTCCAAATCGCTTATATAAAAGACAAACAACAGCAGACCTCGCAATGATCCCTGCATAGTTCCTCAGGAGTTAGACTATGTATTTTCTAAGTAGCTACTTATTTAATTTCATCAGAAACCTTTGAATTGTCTGATTTAAATGGAGACTTTCTGAGCGTTCCTAGACGAATTGCCCTGTAGAATCTTCAATCTCCCAAGCAACTCTTTTGGAGTCTGCTATGATGGGATTCTACAGAGACACCATGCAAAATTCCCATTCAGTCCTGAGGAAGTGTCACTCTACCTGAAATGTTAACTCTAATTTCTCTCCACAGATGCTGCCAGACCCTACTGAGCTTTTCCAGAAATTTCTGTTTTTGTTTCTGATTTACAGCATCCACAACTTTTTCAGTGTTTTCAAACAATTCCCACATATGCTGGAATAACGGCTCTTTGACCATCGGAAAATCTGGGCCATTGACTTTTTGCCCACAACACCCAATAAACTTTTGTAAAGAACAATGAGCTGCTTGATGCAAAAAAAAAGTGCCCCAGTAAGATCAAGAGGTTATAGAAACAACAAAAAAATACAATATTTATGCAGACAAAAACAAATAATATTCAGGTGGGAATTTTGAAATCAAGGGTTGCATAACTCAGCTGACATTCCACTGACCCAGCTTGTTTTTTTTAATATTTTACAATGCACTTGAAATCACAAATGCTGTGCAATTGTTTTGTTTTTATTGTATCAAATATTATGAAATAATTTATGGTTCATAAGCAGTTATGAAATAATTTATGGTTCATAAGTAAAGAGTATTTGTTTTAATAATTTGCACATTTGTTACAAGAATGTCCTCTAGTCAATTGCAGAAAATTGGAATGCTCAACTCCCTAAAATTAGTATTCCATCCATAAAAATCATGCATTTCTCAACATTACACATAAGCATTTCTTTCACATGCTACACAGAAAGCCATCAACAGAAAGGCTGGCACAGAAACTTGCTTATGAAACATTAACTTGGCCAATTACCGCCCTATCAGTTCACTCTTGATATTCAGGAAGGTGATTTGATTTGATATTGTCACATGTACCTAGGTATAGTAAAAAATTTTGTTTTGTGTGCTGTGCAGGCAGATCATAACATACAAACATCACAGGGTGATTGAACAGAGTGAGAAATACAACGGTACAGCTGCAAAGAAGGAGGTTTAGAAGTGAAGAACAATTGCTAGAAATATGAGAATAAGATCAGTTGTAGAGAGCTTGTAAAGAATTGCCCGATAATTGAGGCCATCTTGAATCCTGGTGATAGAAGAAGTCATCAACAGAGCTATCAAGCAGCACCTACTCGCAATAACTTATTTACTGACGCCCAATTTGGGTTCCACCAGGGCCATTCAGTTCCTGACCACATTTCAGCCTTGGTTCAATCATAGACAAAAAAGCTGAATTCCAGAACTGAGGTGAGCATGACAACCCTTAACAGCAAGGCCAGCTTTGACATTGTGGCATAAAGGATCCTGAGCACAACTGGAATCTGTTGGAATTAAGGTGCAAATTCTCTGCCGGCTGGAGTCATACCTGGCACATAGGTGATGGTTATTGGGAGGTCAGTCATCTCAGCTCCTGGACATCTCTGCAGGAGTTCCTCAGCGTAATTTCTAGTCCCAACCAGTTTCAGTTGCTTCATCAATGACTTTCGCTCCATCATAAGAAGTGAGGATGCTCGCAGATGATTTATACAATGGTCAGCATCATTTGTGACTCCTCAGATACAGAGGCAGTCCACTTTCAAATGTAACAATATCCAGGCTTGGGCTGACAAGTGGCAGGTAACATACGCGCTATATAAATGCCTCACAATGACCATCACCAATAAGAGAAAATCTAACCACCGGCCCTTGACATTCAATGGTGTTATCATGTTTCAATCCCCTACTATCAACACCCTAGGGATTATCAATGATTAGAAACGCAACTCGATTCACCATATAAACACTGATCTGGCTACAATAGCAGGTCAGAGGCTAGGAATGCTGCAGCGGATAATTCACCTCCTGACAATTCAAAATCTGTCTGCCATTTACAATGCACAAGTCAGGAGTGTGATGGAATACTCTCCAATTGCCTGGATTAGTGCAGCTCTAACAAGACTCTAGAAGCTTGACATTAGAGGAGGCAATGGCCTAGTTGTATTATTGCTGAACTATTAATCCAGAAACTCAGCTAATGTTCTGGGGACCTGGGTTCAAATCCCAACATGGCAGATGGTGGAATTTAAATTTAATAAAGAATCTGGAATTAGGGGGTCTAATGATGACCATGAATCTAATGTTGAATGTCAGAAAAACCCATCTGGTTCACTAATGCCCTTTAGGGAAGGAAACTGCCATCCTTACCTGGTCTGGATTGCATGTGATTCTAGACCTGCAACAATGTGGTTGATTCTGAACTGCCCTCTGGATTAGGGATGGTCAATAAATGTTGGCATAGCCAGACATGCCCACATCCTGTGAATGAATTTAAAAAAATCCAGGACAATGCAGCCCACTGGTTACCACATCAACAAGCATCCACTCTCTCCACCAGTGACATTCAGTGCACACTGCTGCTATGATCTACAAGATGCATTGCAGAAATTTGCCAAAGATCATTAGACAACACCTTCTAAACCCGTGATCACTTCCATCTAGAAGGATAAGGTCAGCAGATACATGGAAACACTACCAACTGCAATTTCCCCTCCAACCCACTCACCATTCTGACTTGGAAATACATTGCCATTCCTTCATCAGCTCTGGGTCAAAATCCTGGAACTTCCTTCCTAACCTCATTGTGAGTCTATCTGCAGCACATGGACTGCATGGTAGATGAAGCTCACCTTGTCAAAAGAAACTAGGGACTGGTTTTAAATGCTGGCAAACCAGAGATGCCCACCAGAGAATAAAAAAAAACTTGCACTGTATTAGTAAACTTAAACTCTGAAGACACAATGCAGCATATACTATTTCATGCTGTTCTGTCACACTGAATTGTTATGGATGGCGATAGAGCATTACAACTCACTTTTATACAAATATACTTCATATTTAATAAATACTGGAGTCTATTACTCCGTCTTTTTACAGTTCTACTTCACTGGGTGCATTTGCAGCAGGAATGAACTTTGATCCCTTCTCTTGAGGTAATCTTTTGTTTTCTCTAACTAAATTTCTGACTCCCAGGTCATTTACAAATAGCATGCAGACTCCTGAATCCTGCTGCTAAATCATGGCAGCCCAGGACCCAAAAACCTATTGCAGGAGGAAACACAAACAAGCAGCCAGGAAGTGGTTGCTGAGAAGAGTTATTGGTTGAAATTTTCTAATTTCATGAACAGGTTATATTTGGACATCATAGCCTGCAATTGACACATCATCAATTACTGGAGTGATGAGGGAATGTGGGCACTCCGTATAGATCTTGCAACGGAGAGATCCAGTGTTCCAAGAAAGCTAGGTGATGAGAATCATTGGGAAGAAAGAGTTCCCCAATATGCCTGCTGTCTACTTATGGCTGAATGCTGTCTGCCCCAGGAAAGCAGCAGGGATACAGTAGACCACATTCCAAATTGTTATCAGTGTGGAGCTGGAAGAACACAGCACACCAGGCAGCATCAGAGGAACAGGAAGGTTGACGTTTCGGGTCAGGCCCTTTCTTGAAACGTCAACTTTTCTGCCCCTCTGAAGCTGCCTGGCCTGCTGTGTTCTTCCAGCTCCACTCTGTGTTATCTCTGACTCCAGCATCTGCAGTTCTTACTATCCCTAAATTGTTATTAGTCTGTTTCCTGAATTTAGTCAAAAATTGTGTAGAAGGCAAGAGGGTTAGACCCATTTTTTCTAAATGCACTTACCCGGCTTGTGTGTTCAAGAAGAGCTACAATACTAGCTTCAAGTTGAGATTTTCGCTCCAACTCTTGGTTTTTGATTTCTTCATAGGTATCTAGGAATGCTTGAAAAACAAATATGCCAAAATAATCACTTTTCATACATTTACCATTCTGATCACAGTATGCTTGTATTTTAAAGAAGGTCACAACTTCAAATGCTCTGGTGTCCTGCCAAAATTGTAAGGTCACAGGGTCATTGGTAAATTGGTCTTGTGCACAAAATTTTTTCCAAATCTGATTTTCTGAAGGTGTCTTGTCGAAGCAAAGTTAGCTTTTGATGCAGCATGTAAAACCCAATGAAGAAACAAACCTCCAAAGTGCTAAACAGCAAATGAAATATTTCCACAATCTAGATCATTTGCACACAGCAAAGTTCTATAAACGGGAATTAGATTTATTCATGTTGACTGAGGGGTAAATGTCAATCAGGAAATACTTTCTCTTTACTGAAAAATATGCCATGACATCTTTTATATCATTTTCAAGAAAGGGAAAGGGCTTCAAATTTAATATCACTGCCAACCTTGCAGCATCCCTCAGTGCCAAAGTGCCCATCGAGATTATACACTCAAATCTCTAAAGTGGGACTTTCTGACTGAGTGGAGAGTGCTACTACTGAATTATGATCCTGAGTGTTTGATTTGATTTCCAGAATTCCCAATTTAAAAGGGAAAAATTGATGAGCTTCACCAGAAATGTATACAGAACTGGAAGAATATTGTTATCTTTGCCTTGCACAGCTATTTGTCAGTTTTGGCTAGGTATGAGGGAGTATTGATAGCTTGATGTAGTTAGCAGCATCTTCTCCCTGCAGGTGGCACCTATAGTGTCATTGGAGGATAGCCTTCAGCTCCAATTGAGTCAACAATTATTTGGGGAAACCAGCTGCAATCAGACCTCTAGCTCTTTAGCAAAGGAGAACAAATTCAGACTTATTAGATTGAATGGCCTTCTGTGTTGTGTTTTGATCCCCATAAAGTCAGATAACATTTAAAATGAAATTTGAACTTCCAGTTAGTGGCTGAATAGCATGGTGCAACAAGTATTCACGTTTAAGATGTTAACTGTCACAAATGACTAAAAACATTAAATAATGATCATTTTTGGAGGTAACTCATGTTCTGCATTTACACTGATCACAAGTTGCTATTTGTGGACAGTGCAGAAAGTCTACAGTTGCTTCCAGAACCCAATGGGTTCACGTTTTCTCATTACTTTGAGTAGTGACTACAAGTGGCCATCTCAAAATGCTTCACCTGGTTTTTGGAGAATTTGTCAAATCTGCTACCAGCAATAAAGCCACTCTAATGATTCTTCACACTCTCCTTGGCCACACAGGATAAATTTCCCAGATTTCTGACATAGCTTGAAACTTGACTTTTTGACTAGAGGTGTCTCCTTCTTGCATTCAGCTTTGTTAACTTGTGATAAACTTGCATTGCCTTCTCTCTGTTGGCTTACACAATTGATTGCCATCTTTTTTGTTTCTTTCCTGGAATGTGGGTGTACTAGAAAGCCTGGACCTTTTTGCTCATTCCCAGTTGCCCTTGAGAAGGTGATATGAGACACATTCTTGGATTGCCGCAGTCCATGAGGTGTAGGTATACCTGAGCTGTCAGGAAGGGAGTTCCAACTTTGTGAAATAGCAGCAGTATAGGAATGGTGATATTTTTAAAAATCAGGATGGTGTGTGGCTTGGAAGACAACTTTGAGGTTGTGGGAAGTCAGCAGTGAGTTTCTTTTGCAGAATTCCCAGCATCTGACTTGCTGTTGTAGCCACAGTATTTATACAGTTCGTTAGGTTCTCTCTCTGGTGAATGGCACCTCCCAATGTGGGATCCAGTGATTGTAATGCTATTGAATGTTAATGGAAAATGGTTAAGTTCTGTTATTGGAGATGGTCATTACCTGGCACCTATGTGCTACATATGTTACTTGCCACTTATCAGCTTAAGCCTGAACATTGTCCAAGTCTTGTTGCACGTGGATGTGACTAAGTCGGAGAGGTTGTGATTGGTACCGAACATTATGCAATCACCAACATCCTCACTTTTGACCTAATGACAGAGGTAAGGTTATCGATGAAACAACTGAAGATGGTTGATCATCCAACTCAGTTCCCTGTTCACGCTTTCTCCCCATACATTTTAATCCCTTTAGACTCAAAAACAATAATCTAATTATTTTTGAAAACATTCAATGTTTTGGCTTCAACTGCGTTCTTTGGCAGAGAATTCCATAGGCTTACCATTCTCTGGGTGAAGAAAGTTCTCCTCATCTCACCCCTCAATTCCCTACTCCTTAAACTGTTACCCTGGTTCTGGATAATTGGGAACCTTCCTGGGTTTACCCTATCTAGTCTTGTTAAGATTTTACAGGTTTCTATGAGATTCCCCTTCAGTCTTGTCAACTTATTGGATATGGTCCCAACTGATCCAGTCTCTCTCCATATGCCAGTCCTGTTATGTTAGGAATCAGTGTGGTAAACTTCTGTTGCTTTCCATCCATTCCCAGAATATCTTTCCTCAGACAAGGAGGTCAAAACTGCACATGCTACTTAAAATTGCAGGAGGATATCTCCTCTCCTTCTCCTCAAATTTCTTGCTTTAAACGCAAACTTACCATTTGCCTTCTTCATTGCTTGCTGCACCTGCATGTTTACTTTCAGTGTCTGGGTACAAGGACACCTAGGTCTTATTGCACCTCCCGCTTTCCCAATCTATTGCCATTGAGATAATAATCTGCCTTCACGTTTTTGCTACAGAGTGGATAGCTCACATTTTGGTTGGGCTTAGGACACTGTCCTGAAGAGCTCCTGCAGTGATGTTCTGGAATTTTTCTCTCTTGTTTTCTGCCCAAAAGCCTGGTGCTGACAAGTTCATTTACAGACTGCACAACTGCCCTACCTTTTCAGGGCGAGACCACATCTTGCCCAGCAGGTCTCTTGGCCTAGCCAGGCTTATTCAGTCAGAAACAAAAACAGAAACTGTTGGAAAAAACTCAGCAGGTCTGGTAGCATCTGTGGAAAGAAATCAGAGTTAACGTTTTCGGTCCAGTGACCCTTCTTCAGAAGTGATGCTGCCAGACCTGCTGAGTTTTTCCAGCAATTTCTGTTTTTGTTTCTGATTTCCAGCATCTGCGGACCTTTCAGTTTCTTATTCAGACAGAGTTTGGTATATTCATATTTCTCCCTTCATTTTAATCTAAATTTAAAGACAGTACAAAGCATACACAAACATAAAATTCTAACAGCTATTCCTATTTAACTATTTCATGACTCTATAGGAACAATGCTATCTAAATGTCTCCATAATGGAATGAGGAGACAGATTTTATACAAAAAAATCCTCTTTTAAAGCAAGTTGCAGCTCTTAAAGAACTGTTCCTTTATTGGATTTTGTGATTCCTGGAATAATGCGCTAAATCAGTTGGGCGAGTTTTTCTAGCACATGTAATGCATTCAGGGTTGAAAGCAGAACTTATGTCACAAAACCTTAAATGTCCAGCCTTTGGTTCTAAGGCTGCACTCACTCTTAGTTTTTGATAGTATAAAATCTGAGCTCTACTTGGGTGAAAAAATCACTCTTTGTACAAAATGGCCCTTGCAGGATACAAGATCAACAGCAATGGTAAAAAGAGTTAAAAATTAACAACTCCTTCTGTGGTCACCCAACATTTCTTATAGATGCATAAATGAGACATGAGAACTCATAACATGAGCATTTTTAAAGGAACCTATTGTCTGACAACACTGCAACATAAATCCTACTTCTCTGGTTTCTAGCATAGCTTGGGGAATAAAATCAAAACAAAACTGACTGGTGCAGTAATTTTTTAATCTTTTGTGAGTTCATTTACTTAAAATATCTTGTACTTTAAGAGCAGGGTGCGGTCTGTGAAAGGAAATGTTCAGCTGATTTGATTTTACTACTGACATTACATTTTTGCACATTTAACACATAAATCAAAAATGACAATTTTCTGAAATACAGCAGCCAAGAATTTTGTTAATTGACTAAATTATGCATGCTATTACAGTTTCTTAAAATTATAATAATGACATAAAATTTGCAGCATTTTGTGGCTCAATTGGTAGCATTCTTGCCCTGAGTAAGAAGATTGAGAATTTAAGACCCATGCCAGAACTTGAGCAGAACAGTTTGGGCTGGCATTCTGCTGTGGTATTGGGGGAGTACTGAACTGTCAGAGAAGCTGTCTTTTAGATGAGATGTTAAACCAATACTTTCTGCCTTCTCAGGTGGGTGTAAAAATTCCATGGCACTTTTGAAGAAGAAGGGAGCAACTAGCACCATCTGTCCATTATTTATTCCTCGAGAAACATTTTTAAAACAGATTACCTGGTCCTTATGATGATGCTGTTTATGGGAGTTTGCTATGTGCAAATTGGCTGTCAAATTTCTTACAGTACTACAGAAACTATACATCAGAAATATTTCCCTGGCTGTAAAGCATGATGGGATGTTTAATGGTCATAAATGTAAGGCCTGTACTAAAATAAACAAAGTATGTTTGACTTGTTCTTTGAACATCTCACTACCTAATGTAACAGTAAGAGGTCCATTAGGAGCCTCCATAAGGTTCAAGGAGAAAGCTCTCTATCAAAATCACAGAGCAACTTAGGATGATCAACAGTTGAGGCCTCACCGATGTCACTCATACCCTACAAACAAAAGAATCAGTTTGTGAGGAACCTCCAGCAAACATTGATCCAAATCCATGGAACCCCCATTCTGACTTCTGAAAGTCAATAACATCTAGCTACACAGCGTTACTGCTGCAGAAAATCTTTTATTTCTATTAAAATACATTAACAGAAATTATATACTTATACATTATATAGAAAATTGTGAGAAATAAATCTAATGATTTCACTGATACTCAAGTTCACAATTATGGCTATCCATTCCATCACCTACATATTGAAGAACTGTCAGGTGCTGGAAACGTTCTGCTATGCCTTCTACAATGTGGATGGATCAGTAGGCTGAAGCAAACATCAGGAGCAGGGTCTGTCCCCCATGGGAGACAGGGAGTGTGAGAACCATTGAGAGAGCTGGGACCCATTGGAATGACGTCAGTGGAAGGCATCTTCTTCTGATCCAAGCCCAGCAACAAGGTGGCTTCCAAAAGCCCAGAATGGTGGTGAAGGTCTGGCACCTGGTGGAATGGTCTCCCGCTATGGCAGTCTTGTCTGGGGGTGGGCAGTCCCAGCCTGGAGTGGTGTTCTTGTCCCAGTGTGGAGGTCTCGTCATGTCGTGGAGGTCTCATCTTGGCGTGGTGGTCTCGGATTGGCTCTGCATGGCACTTTCAGCCCAGAATACCCCAAACCAGGAAAACATTAATTGAACTTTGATGAACTTTTACTTTTTTTCTCTTCTTATTTATGACTTCTGTCATTAATTTAGGTGCCATGGTATGGTGACTTATAAAACTTTTAATTTTTTTTTGTAAAAATACACGTGACAATAAATTGCTAGTCTATTCTAAACTGTAACCCCATAAATTATGGAACAGCTACAAAGCAGTCAGACAAAAATTAAGGTAGTTATCAACAGAGATAAACTTTGTTCAAATGGTGAGGAAATGGGAATAATCACAATGGTGGCTTCAATACCTAGCCAATAACGATAATCAATTGGAAAGCATAAAAAGGCATAAGATAAAGCATGAAAATGTACATTTCACTGATTGCATATGAACATTTGAAGAACAGAATGATTATGTTGCTATAACCTTTCTTTCAAACTAGTTGTACTTTCACAGAGGTCTAACATAGCATGATTTGAACCTTACAGTAATAATTTACATACACTCATAATGGTGCATGGTTGAGGAAAGCTAGTCCAGATAAACTTACCATCCATTGTTTCTTCTCTTTTCTTTAGCTCTTTATACTTCTGATTCCTTTCACCTAAAAAAAGAACATTTAATTTACACATCTCTTCATGATTCAATATGATATACAAAGTCCTCTCAGCGTCATTCAGCCATTTGTTGTTTTGGCCTTTTATAAGTAATTTTGATTCCAGTTTCATATTTACTGGTCCCTTATTGTTCAGGGGTTAAAATAATGGGACACCCTATTAAACAGTGTGCGTGTGTGTGTGTTCAGCATATTGACCTGCTCAAGATGGCTCACTTGCCTTCTTAAGGACCACTAATGACAGGCAATAAATGCTGATTTTGAGGGATGGGTTGAGGAAGTTTACAGACAGGATTTTGTAATCTGTGAGCATCTGTTGGTGGCAGGACACCAAATTATGGTGGCCATTCCTCGTTGGTGGTAAAGGCATCTCATGCCCAGAATCACGCACTGCACTGTTTCAACTCAACAAAATAAGTGACAGCCATTTCCTGTTCAATTCTTAGGGAATTGCCCAGACCGAACAGGATCAATCTGCCTGCTTTAAAATTTAAACAAAATCTGGCTGTTAACAGTCAATTGGGATTAATGGGTGTATTCTCCTTGGCAATGCACCTAGCAATCAAGTCCACTTGCCATCAGCACGCTGCTCTTATGCAGCATAAATGTTGATATGTTTCCCTTGAATTTGTAATCTTGTGAAATGTTCTGATGAGTGCATGATGAAAAGCTTTGAGAAAGTATGTCTTTTCTCAGTAATACTCAGATTTAGGCTAAACAGAGCCTTAACAGCAGATGAAACTGGCTAAGTTTGAATACATAGCTTTTTCTTAATGCTGTGAGCAGAACAAGGCAGTCTCTGGGTTGTGAATGAGTTCCATTCTAGAGTTTATTTATAAGAAGATTTGGACACAAGTCGGAAGACAATGAAGGTCAATGTAAAGCTGCCATTTGTAAATACAGGAAATGTTCATATGTTGGGTCTTTAAAATTATACACCTGTTCAGGATCACATCGAAAATACAAGCATTTGTAAGTATTCAAAGGAAACCAGAGAAGAAACTCACTTCTGTGCATCAGCTTTTCTCCAGTGCCAAATATAATATTCCACATTTTCAACTGAGTCTAGCATAATGTCCAAAACAATACAATAAATTCCTGAGAAGGAGCAAAGGACTACCTACCAAGATATTCAGTGCACTTAGATAACAAGGTGTGGAGCTGGAGGGACCCGAAACATCAGCTTTCCTGCTCCTCTGATGCTGCCTGGCCTGCTGTGTTCCTCCAGCTCCACACCTTGTTATCTCAGACTCCAGTATCAGCAGTTCCTACTATATTCAATGCACTTCCCTTGTTTAATACCCTGCCTGAAGTTATTTGGAATCTCTAGCAATAGTGCCACTTTGACTAAAACAAATGTACACAAGTTTGGAGAAGGTGCAGCATCATCTATCATCATTCATGATGGGAGAAGAAGCCTTCGTCAATATTGTTAAGGCTCAGTTTTTTATTTCCCAGTACCTGCTGTTGTATTCACAGCTGAATATTGACTGATGAGCAAACCTAATTTCTTCTTCATTATATTAAATAACCTGCTTAATTTTCATGTCTAGCACTTCAGCGTGATAACCCACTGTAGTGATGGGAACGAGGTAGGCCAGGTGGATCACGTTGTGTATAAGTTCCCTGAGTGGTCCAGGTTAAAAACCCCATTCAGGGAGTCCTGGGCAGATATGAACAGGGAATTCAGAAAGTCTCCTCACTCTAGGGACTGGGTCTGAGCTAGCTAAGTCAGAGTTGATGTACTGTGCATGTATAAATAAAGGGTCAATTGGTGATGGGATACTGGCTTCCGTGGAGTTATTTCACCCATGTTCTGCAGTACACATAGGATGCACACCATATTGTTGAGCAACTTGTGAAGATATAAAATAGTTCACCAAAACATTGCAGAGCTGTCAAACTATTTGGTTAGATTTATTTAAGGCAGTAATATGTAGAAACAAAAAAAAATTACAGAAGTTAAAAGCACAATATCAAATTTGAGTAGATTAACTGATTTTTGTTTGAAATGATCTCTCTGCGTGCAAATAACTAACAATTTAAATTTATAAAGAATCTTTAATTTAAAAAGTGCAATACTATAACAGCAATCAAACCCAAATGGATATTAGGAAGGACAACGAATAGCTTAAACAAAGGGATGGTGGAGGCAGGTGGAAAGGCAGAAAAGTTTAGAAGTTAGGGCATAGAAGAAATGAAAGTTCAACCAAAGATGGAGTGTAAAGATAGAGAGATACAAAAGTGGTCAGAGAATTAAACAAACAGGCTGAGGAAAGAATTAAAAGGACTGGAGGAGATTACAAATAATGCAGAGCTTAATAACTTTTTTTTTACTATGAAATAGGAGCATGCCAACCAATTTAAAAAAAAAACAACTCATTTGCAAACACAGACAAACATTCAGCACAGTATTTTGGAAACACAGGGTTTATATGGGTATCTAAGGGTTAAATAAATTCCCTCTTCAATGTAATGCCACATATTCAGGTTTGGTTTAATGCCGATTCGCTATTACTTCACCAAGTGGTCACTCGATATGACAGAAAAGCTCAAGGAGTGCCAATGATTTTTTATTTTCACCTGGGTGGTCTCTCAGTTGAGCCTGAACCTACCCCATCTGAGGTCAACACGTGGACTTTCTGATGGAAATTACTGGATCACAATCAGATTTCTGAATTTATAATGAATTTTTCCTTCTAAGCCCAGAAAAACAAGAAACAATTGTAATTTTCTCCTATGTTCTGCACTGTGATCAATTATCTAAACACACATGAAGGATTAAATATGGCCCTTCCTTATTTTTTTCGGCTCTAAACCATAATAGGTGGTGCATGTTTAAAAATGAGCTAGGATAGAAAGTGTAAAGAGTCAGGATACATTCATTTCCTCTAGTGTAAAGGATGAGAAAAGGAGAAATGTCATCTTACTAGACTATGATTATACACAGAACAAAAGTCTGAACAGGAATAAGCCAGAATGGTACTTATGGAAAATAAACACTCAGCATTTTTTAAAATTTTGGTTGTTCTTCAAACTATTCATGAGTCCAAAGTACATTCAGCTTACTGATTTGTTATACGATACTTGTAAATTTACAAAGCTACCTTAAAAGTACAATCATTTGTAAAATATAGCTTGCAAGTACTGAGTGGAGTGCAAAGCCAGAGAAGAAAGTTAATCCTTACCGTCTGAGATGTTTCCAATTAAATAAACCAGTGGACAAATAGAAAAAAGAGAAATGGAAAAAAGTGAAAAGAAACAAAGCTGAGAACTGGAATCTTAAGTATTTACATAGTTGGATCACAGATAGTTATTTTCTGAAGTGAAGTAAAAAGATTTGACAAAAAGAATTTGATAACTTATCACTCTATACAATAGAAAATATGTGATTAACAAGGTCAACATTGTTTTTCATTAAAAGTTAGCACCCTCAGCTTTGATTGTGGATCATGGGATTACATCTGAACATGCAATCTTGCCTGAAACACCAGTGCAGTACTGAGGGGATTCTCTGTTCTCAGAGACACTGACTTTTGGACGAGCTGCAAAGCTATGACCTCATGCGCCTCTTGGGGATCTATAAGATCCTGTGGCAACTTACCTCCCAGCTCCTTAAAGCCTGACCAGCACCTCAAGGCACAAGTATAAGGCACAAAGATTCTGGGTAATCCAATATGGAGGATGGGAAAAATTGTGGCTGTAAGAACTGCTCCTTTTTTGAGGTATTTTCAGTGTTGGAGCTGAATTCCTCAAATTCTAGGAGCAGTAATTACTGTTTTATAATCTGTGGCATTGCTTTGGAACTTTGGGAAAAGAAAAGACCAAAACAACAGCACTTTATAAGGGAGGAAGACAGACAAAGACAGTGACCACTGGGAAGTGATTCAAACGGAGAAAGAAACCTACACTGATGTCTGACCCACAGGAACCTGCACAGCTGCTGCCTTTGCTGTCTGCTTTCAAATATCTTTGGACATCGGAGTTTGTTCTAAGAAAAATAAACAAACAGCGAAATTCACAGCTGACCTTGGAGAAATAGAGTGTGGAGTTGGAGGAACACAGCAGGCCAGGCAGCATCAGAAGAGCAGGAAAGCTGACGTTTCGGGTCGGGACCCTTCTTCAGAAATGGGGGAGGGGAAGGGGGCTCTGAAATAGGGGGGGGGGGGGGCGCGGTGATAGCAGGTAGATAGTGGAGCGGATGGGTGGGAGAGAAGACGGACAGGTCAAGGAGGCGGGGATGGAGCTAGTAAAGGTGATTGTAGGTAGGAAGTGGGGGTGGGGATTGGTCAGTGAGGTGGGAGGGGCAGATAGGTGGGAGAGAAGACGGACAGGTCAAGGAAGTGGGGATGAAGCTAGTAAAGATGACTGTAGGTAGGAAGTGGGGGTGGGGATTGGTCAGTGAGGTGGGAGAAGTAGAGGGCTTTTAGGCCATCTGCATGGGGAATGCAAGTATACAGGGACTGGACGTCCAGCCCTCCGCTTCTTCCTCTCCTGCAGTCCCCCTCCACCGACACCCTTATCTGCCTAACTGAACTCGTCCTCACCCTTAACAACTTCTCCTTCAACTCCTCCCACTTCCTACAGATGAAGGGGGTGGCCATGGGTACCCACATGGGCCCAAGCTATGCCTACCTCTTTGTAGGATACGAGGAACATAGAACATAGAAGATAGAACAGTACAGCATAGTACAGGCCCTTTGGCCCACGATGTTGTGCTGAACTTTTACCCTAAATCTAAGGTCCATCTAACCTCCACCCCTACCTTATACTATCATTCATATGCCTATCTAACAGCTGCTTAAATGCCCCCAATGAGGCCGACTCCACTACCCTCTCCGGCAATGCATTCCACGCCCCGACTACTCTCTGAGTAAAGAACCTACCTCTGACATCTCCCCTGTATATACCTCCACTCACTTTAAAACTACAGCTCCTCGTAATAGCTACCTCCTAGGAAAAAGTCTCTGACTGTCTACTCTATCTAT